TCAATAAAGTTTGAAAATTTGATTAGGTTGAACGTATATGAGTTCTAAATTTAAAATTGATTGTGTTGAATATATGAGTTCTAATTTTTTTACTCAAAAGATGTAAGAATTACATAAGGAATAATGATTCATTTTCTTAATTTTGTTTCTTCAATTCCACCCTTAATGATATGAATATGATGTGAAATTAAGGAGGTTAAAAATGAGAGGAAGGGGAGTGTAGGACTGTTTCACATGGGAGTATGTCATGTCATTGTCATTAAAGATAGAATTAGAGGACAAAATTGGAGAGATATAGCACCACTCATTACATAAGCCTTGGGTTGACCCAAACAAACTGAATTAATATGACGGGTCTGGCCCAATGAAGCAACCCACCAAGAAACCTAGCTAGGATTTGTCAAACTTGGTGGAAAAGAGACCTATCATTATGAATAAAATAAAAACCTCGAAGAAAAGGTGTTTTGTCATTCTATATACAATCTCTATATGCAGTATCGGCTTATATTTTTTAGATATTTCAGACTAATCATCAAAATAACACCTTATCTAACTAAACTTTTGAAAAGGTAAAACTTTAAACAATTTTTTTTTTTTTTTTTAAATTTTCTTGTGAGCCGAGCCGCCTCACATGTTTTCTTTTACTTTTTCTGTCTATCTCTCTCTCCCTGTCTCTCTCTCACTCATCACTCTTTTCTCTCTCTGTGTCTACTTTTCTATTTGTCTATTCCCTCACTATGTTCGACTTGCTCACTCTCTTACTCTTATCTTCTCTATTTATCGAGCTCCTTCTCGATTTATCGATCCACTATAAGAAAATACACTTTTGGCAACCACTTTATCTATCTCTCTCTCACTCATCACTCTATCTCTGTGTCTCTCTCTCTATCTCTCTTCTTTATCTGTCTCTCACAAAATTAAAATATTTTTAAAATATTTAAATATTTAAAATATTTAAAAAATTGATTTGAATTAAGTTTTGAACAGAGTTTTGAATTATCTGTCTTCTTTATTTATTGAGCTCCCTATCGATTTATCGATCCACTACAAGAAAATGCACTTTTAGCGACCACTTTGTCTCTTTCTCGCTCATCACTCTGTCTCTCTATCTCTTTTCTCTATTCGTCTCTCACTCATCTTTCTCTCTCACTACCCAACTTCTCTACCACATTTACCACTACTGCAAATGCTATTCAACTACCACCACTCTTCTCTTTCTCTCTTTCACTTATCACTTTTATTTCTCTGTCTGTTTGTCTATCTATCTGTTTGTCTGTTTGTCTGTGTGTCTTTCGTTCATCTTTCTTCTCTCTATCTCTCTCATTTGTCTTCTTTCTATGTCTCCCTCGCTCATCTCTCTTCTCTCTATCTCTCTCATCCCTTTCTCTCTCTGTCTCTCTCGCTCATCTCTTTTCTCTCTATCTCTCTATTTTTCTATTCTCTTTATCGTTCATCTCTTTTCCCTCTCTTTCTATATGTCTCTTTCATCTCTTGTTTATCTCTATTTTTCTATATGTCTCTCTCTATCGATTTCTCTCTCTACCTCTCTATCTCTCTCTATATCTCTTTCTCTCTTTATCTCTCTCTCTCTCATCACTCTGTCTTTCTCTCTCTTCTCTATCTGTCTCTCACTCATTTCTCTCTCTCACCACCCATCTCCTCTATCACCTTCACCACTACTGCAAACACCATTCCACCACCACCATTACTTCTACTGTAGCCACTTCACTTCTACGACTACCATTACTACTACTATCGCCACCACTCCACTACCACCACTGCCACTACTACTACCATTACCTCTCTTTCACCCCTGTCACTCAATTTACACTACCACTACTACAACTTCACCACTAATCTGTTTCGCCATCACCATCACCGCCGCAACCACCATCATCTCTTATCCACCACCTTCACTACTGCTGCCGCTCCTTTTCCTCTACTACAAAAAATTAGTTCATGATTTTTAGTAATAAAAAAAAATAGACCGCAGAAAATTAACTTTTATTTTAGTGAAAATATTTTTCATTAAAATATATATGAAACAAATCAACTTTAATAACGGAAAGAAAATAAAAATTATTATTTATTTTTATTTTATTATTTAAATATTTATTTATGATTTTTATTTTATTTTATTTTATTTTTATTTTTTTTTCTCACACCGCCCGCTCGGTTCCCCTCATTTTTTCCATTCCCGCGCCCCAAAATCCCCAATCTCTTTAGAACAAAAAAAAACCCTAAATCTAATCGTCTCCCTCACATCACTCTCTCAGTCGCCTCTCTCTCTCTCTCTCACCCTCTCGTTTATCTCTGCACCGATCTCGTTCATCTCTGCACCGATCAC